ATAGGAAATAGCAAGAGTGATTACAATAGTTCCTATTGCATTACATGCATAGGAACTAAAAAGGCAAACTTTAATAGCAGACGAAATTTTAGAGATCCGGTAACGCAGATGAATATTAAGCTGCCGTCTGTGGTTTAAAAACATATTTCCTCATAATTCATAATAGACCATCATTCCCTTAATTAATTTTCTATAATAACTATATCAGTTGTTAACATATTACAATAGGGAATTTGCTTTCTTTGGAGAACTATTATAGTTGAGCCTAAGCGAGGGCGGCGCCATCTTTGTTGTTGTTATCGTGAAGCTACGTGATTGCAAAGCGAGAGGATTTCGTGCAAATCAGGAACTATCGCATGTGGCTAGCAAAACATGTTAATTTCTCCTCCTGGAAGCTAAACTTGGCTGACTAAAAAAATCGGCCTGCGGAGGTATCATTTTAGTCGAGGTTCACGTCATTTAGTCGTAGTGCTAGTCGAAGTTCGTTTTAAGAATACGTAATGACGTAATTTTAAAGTTTTAGCTCGAACTACGACTAAAGTTCGTTTTAAGAATACCGGGGTCAGTGCCTCATCATCCTACAGGCAGTGGCGTACCTATGCACTCTCGTGCGGCGGTCTGCAGGGCCCTTTAACCACATGGTCCTCGATCTACCACCCTGACCCAAAAGGGTTTTGTTGATACATTATAGCATAATGTGTTTCTGACATCAACTGTGTATTATATTAAGGCTAGGTATGTTCAGTGGCAAATTAAAGGAGGATCCATACATTTTTTAATTAAAAGTCTGTGAGTGCCATTTCTCGCCATTTAGAGGTGCCATAATCATAAATTTTCGTGCCTCAGCCCCAACCATGACGGGGCTGAGGTCGTATTGACCCTTTCACAGAGAAAGTCTCCCCCTGGGCCCTATTAAACATTCCTGGATTCGCCACTCATATCATTGATTTTGTTGTTAAAAACAATTAGAATGCAAATGACAAACATAATTATAAAACGAGCTGCAGCACATCTAAAAAATCCCACAATGGAATAGACGAAGACCAGGACCCAAAACACAGCGACTCTCAGAAAGCCACAGGGCCTCCGGCACCATCATTACACCACTGCCTACTAGGTATTCACTTATACTCCTTAGTGGAGAAAGTCAAATGTAGGTAAAGTACCTTGCCCAAGAACACAGGCAAAATTCACAGCTAAAGTTTCAACCTCCGACCTCAAGGTAAACTCCAAAACGCCCATCGCTCCCACATGTAAGAACAAACATAATGCAGGGGCGGATCTGGGTTCAAATTTAGGAGGGGTGAAAATGTTCCTGAACCCCCACCCCAAAAAAAGGGTGGGGTCCCCTGGAGAAATTTTGATTCCTAGATGGCAGGAAATGAGCATTCCCAGCTTCTAAAGTGTTTTTTTAATGACTTTTAGGTTCTTCAAAATTCAAGGTTTCATCCCTCCTTGAAAACAGTAAGCTAAAGTTTTCTCATTTTTATTACAGAAAATAGGAATATTATGTGTGTATACATACATAAAAAAAATTTGAGTAGTTGCATACATATTTTTTTTCCCGCAAATTGATGAACCCCCTGGAAAATTTTGATTCCTAAATGGTGAGAAATGAGCTTTTCCGACTTCTAATTTTCCCATTGTAACAAATAAATTTCAGCTCACAGGTCCTGAAAAGGTAGGTCTAGATTTTTTTTATTTATTTATTTTTTTTGGAAATGTTTTTTTGCCCAAGGGGAGGGGGGAGGGGCAGGATTAATATAATATAAATCTTACTTTTTTTCAAAGATCTCAGTATATTCCGATTGTGGAAATATCCATTTTACACACCAGAATATGGTACTTGGACTGAAGGGAAGATAAAAAAAAACAAATGTTAAACATACAAGGTTAAACACAGTGTAAAGTCAATTTTTCATTTAAGCCATTTTAGTATTTGATTCAAATGAATGTTTCTTACCTTTCTTTGAAAGTTCGAGATGTATTTTGCTTGTGTTTAGTGAAAACATTTGGAAGAAAAAGTAGACGTACTCCTTTTTGATTGGCTGTCCTCTTCAAAAACTTTTTCTAAATAAAAAAAAAGATAATTTGCAATACTAGTTACAATTTATTCTTTTTACATTATATACATAGAGGAAATGTACTTTAAGGGTTAATAGCATACATTAAATCTACAAATAGTTGAATAGCATAAGCCCACCCCCTTTAAACACAAAATTGGGCCGATTTTGAAAGTTGGGCTTATACAGTGGAATCCCCTTTTCACAAGAAAGTTGATGACCCTTTTAAACTTGACAGCATGTCCCATCATTTTTAGGGATGGCCAACATGAAGGCAATAAGGCTGCTGAGCTACTCACTCAAATCATACCCTGGACTTTTGCACAAGTGGGCTTATACTTGAGAAACTATGGTAGTATAGTATTGTTTTTAAAGGCCTGTATTGAATATTACGTTGTTATGATTCCTGTTTGGGAATTTCTTCGCAATCCTAGTGGCAATGTCTGTTGCTCGGTCGACATCCTCAAGGAACTGATAATCTAAAATAAAGTATTGAAGAGCAAGTTCAGAAAATTATTATTATTTTATTGTTTATTAAGAAAAATAATAGCTTAAACCCTTGTAGTCTATCCATTGTAACCTTTGTTTTTATTATTATATATTTTATATAGAATAATGGTCTGTGACATCGACTGATTAGGGGGCACCTAGGGTTCGTAAAACTTGTGAAACAAATAAAAAGATTTTAGCAACCGGGATCGGAAAGTTCCCCCAGTCTCAGAAAATAACAGGGCCTTGTGTTAGGCCACTGGAACACTGGTCCCAAAAATCTTTAATTGGAGGGAGACCTGAATTGCCATTTGCTATTCAAAATCAAAAGTTACATTACCACTAAGGAGGTGATTCTCTGTGTATTTTTTGATGGGCACATACGCTGACTTGTCCCTCTGTCCATTACAAGCTGTTGTTGCCTTATGCTCCTTCACACATTTTACACTAACATTAATAAATAAATAGCAACAGTTCAATACACAGGTTTCACAGTGGCATAGCTAGGAAAAAACAAGCTTGCGCCCTCTCTCAGTAACCCACACCCCTTCCCCCACTTTGATTGAAATTATGTCAAGTAGTAACAATCACCTTATTTTGTGAGCTCCAGTAGTTCCCCCTCACTTAATCATTGAGGGCCTCCCCCCCCCCACCCCACCACTTCTAGACTCCTACAGTAGATACACTGAGCAGAAGGGTTCTTATGTTACCCCTTTACTGTACCTGCAAGTCTGTTTGGAGCATCGAGGACACCTGTACTTGGCAAATTCTTTACAACAAACTTCACATCTAAATCAAGAAGGAAAAGAAAGCAGCTTAGCTAAATCGGCTAAAGTAGTGGTGGCCACTGTGTGCGGGCTAAACGGTCAAGATCTCTTGGTCCATGGTTCAATTCCATCACTGCTCTCTGTGTTTTGATTGGAGGGCAGAAGTTTCAGTAGTGCAGCTTCTTTCGAATGAGATAATTTATTTAAGCCGTAGGTCCTGCGTGCAATATGGCCTATGTGCATATTATTGTTAAAGAATCCAGTATACCCTTCAGAAAAGAGTACAGTTTGTTGTCTCCTAGAGTGTATTTTGCTCAATCACGACCAAATGGAAGTAAAGTCTTAGGATTTTCGTGGTTATATTTGGTGTTTACATCGAGTAAATCCAATCCAAGACTGATCACCTGCTTGGATTTTTTAATTAATATTATATTTTAGTTATAATTTGTCAGTTAGTGTCTTTGTCAGGGGTCTCATGTCACTGTTTTATTAATATTATAGCTAGGCCTAGTAGTACTTTATACCGTAAAGTGTTGTAATTGAGCCAATGACATCAAATTTGCGTGGAAAATCAGTAGAAAAATAGTCCCCATGAATTGATGGTTTTATAATCAACTACTGTAAGAGATTAATTATAAATTATAATATTGTCTCCTAATCAGCCTAAGTAACGGAACAATAGATGCGAAAATCAGACCTCATTTTCTGAAATGATGGATTTGTCTAGGCCATATTCCCCGCGCAGGCCTTGCTTTACAGTCTAGCAGGACAGAGTGGGTAGGCTGCTAGGCCTCTCTGGGCAAGGCCTGAGAGGCCTAGGCCTTAGAGGCCTAGGACTTTAGAGGCCTTAGCCTTACTTAGGCTAGGCTACGTTATACTCTAATAATAAGTCTAGCCTAGCCTAGGTAGAGGAAGAGCCAAACTAGGCCTAGACCTGGCCCAGCAGAGTATGAATAGTTTACATTATATAATTCTATATGCTTAAGACATAACTGAGCATGAACCTTTTATCCTTGATATCCATTTCATTAATACTAGTAACTCCCGTCTTCAATTAAACAAGCCACTCACTACGATGGCAGCAGCATGTGTGAAAACGAAATGTTTGTATTTTTATTCTGGATAGCGCCACCAATAGAATAAAAGTCGCAAATAAAATTGTGTATGGCGTGCACTGAGCGTGATAAATAGTTCACAGAATTCATGAGCCGACCCAATTACTGTTGTGAACAGTGGCGGACCGTAGGGTAAATTGCAGGGTATGCTAGGTACAGTATTGGCATATTTAGGATTTTCCCCCACCCCCTGAAAAAAAAATACTCGCCTAGCCCTTAGTCGCGCCCTCGTCCACAAATCATGCTTAAGTTAAGAATCACGTCAAAATCACTTTATTTTGCGAGTTGTCCCCTCACCTAATCACCGATCTCCCATCTTCCCACTCCTATCAGCTCCCTCCATTTCAAGACCCCTACGCCACTGACTAGGGCCTGCTAGTAGGAAAAGTTTGTATTTGCCTGCTACTCACTATACAGAATCAGATTGCATTCTAGTCAAAATATTACTGAAAATGTACTGGTATGTTATTTTTAATACCGGCATGGTTGTTAGTATCTGCTTTAAAAGAATTCCTATATTGGTGTATGTTAACAAATTTCAATTCAAATAATCATAAGTTTCTTATATACCAGTCAGTATACAAATTCAGTATTTAAAATTTAATCATGACATTGAGATTAAGCCTGTCGATAGAATACGTCCCGATCGGCAGTGGAGGTCTCGATTAAAGAGCATGCGCACATACACTTGGAAGCACTGCTTCCATTCCAGTGTTAAATTGGCCATTCTGACGCCATCACACGCTTGTCACAATAGCAAGCGTTGCAGGGTATGCTCTGACGCCTATTTGACTCACTAAATACGTGATTGGCTGAGATTGAAAACCAGCCACGAAGAACATCTAAGTAGCTGCAGCTAAAAGTGTACCATGCGATCCAGCGATAGGCCCGACTGTGACTTAACCTAGATAACAAAGTAGGCCAAACATTGAAAAACTTTGCTATTACAATGAACTGTAGCATCCACTCAAAAAATTAAGGTTTATATAGAAGATTCTGACTAAGATATGCTAAATAAAACGGAGAAACTGTATTTTATTTTATTTTTATTTTATTTATTTATTCTTTTTTTTTTGTATATTTTTTTATTTGTTTTAGCCAGGGTATGAACTGCATACCTTGCTTGCCTTCAGGGTCCGCCACTGGCTGTGAACTGACATCATATGGTAAATTTCATTTATAATGACATGATAACTAAAGCACTTTGCGAGT